TCTCCACTGATTGGACCGTGGGGGATGGTGGCGTGTTGGAACGGTCAAACTTGGCAGTGGAGGGTTGTGGCTTGGATTTGTCCAGGTTGGTAGCGAGTCGTAGAACTTGGTGTTGTAAGGTGTTGCGTGCGTGATGTAATTTGAGGCATTGGTGATAGAAGGTTTGTTGATGTTCAAGAGCTGTCTTCATGATGGGTAGCAAAGCTTGTAGCTGCTGTGTTCTGCTCTGAAGGCTAGGATCTTGTCGGAAATTGGCTGCATCTGTGAGTTGTAATTGTTTGATGGTGTCGTTGAGTCGATTGAGCTGTTGGAGCATCAGTCGATTGATCTGGATATTGGTATCCTGTAGTTGTGGAATAAGTTGAGCGTCTGGTGCGGTGGTCTTGTCCATCTCCATAGGCCAATAAAGACTGTACACGGGAAAGGCTGAGCGGTGATTGATATGCGCAGCTGCAGAACATGAAAAGATTGGGTTTTTGAACGTCCAAGGTCAACAGAAATTGAAAGCAGCGTTGATTAGATAAGCATCCATGACCGCAATTGTCCAAGGAATTTCATCTCATGTACATGCATGAATGAATTCGGCGAAGCTGTACAGGCTCAAAACGATGTTAAAATAAAGGGCTTCTAATTCGAATTCTGAGTGTTGTGTGAAGATGTCAAGATGTCAAAAATGTCGAAATGTGAATGGCTGCATCGGTTCTTTTTGCTGCAACTGTGGAAGAGATGTGCGGTGGTGCTCGTTTGTTGGAGTCTGTTGCTCGCAACCAAAATATGTATCAATAATTGTGAACTGCAATGAAGAGGTGATGAGAAAAGTTGAAGTGGTCGTTCAGGACATAGTCCAAGAAATAGTCCAAGGAAAAAATAACGAGGGGTTGCACGAGAGGAAGATCGCTACATAGTTCATCGGTCATTCTCTCATAGATCGTGGTGTGGTGCTGCTGCTTCATGTGTCTGAGGGGGTGCTACGTTGTCCGATGTCATCGTACAGGCATCTCAGGTGGTTGGTTGGTCGACTACAGCAGCAGCTGGAGATTTGGTGTGAGTGCCCTCTGGTGGTTGGGGTGTATAAAGTATCTGCAAAGTTTGCCAGCGGCACTTACAGTCAAATGGAGTTTTGTTGAGAGTTTTGGCAATCTGCTTCCAACTGGCGCGGGCTCGTTTGTTGAGCTTGAGCGATGCTAGTTTCTCATCATCACTGGGTTCCCAGCCTCCATTGTCTGGGTATGGAGGGGATGGAGTTGGAGCTGGCCTGGCAATGGGTGTAGTGGTAGTCGTAGTGGTGGAGGTGGTGGTGGTGGTGTGCTGGAAGAGCTGTGCAGTGAGTAAGTTGGTTGTGGTGCATGTGGAGAAAGTTGCCAGGTGTCCGTTCGATGCGGCGGTGTTGGTGACGTGAGTGGTTTTGCTGGACAGGGTGGGGGTGAGTGTTGATGTGTGGAGGTCGGTGTGTATGAGGGTGAAAGTTCTGGCTTGCGTTGCATGTGTGGTAGGCCAGTAGTTCGTGGTGGACTGCGGCTGCGACGTGAGACTGAGTGTGGGGGTGGTGGTGGTGGTGGTGGAGGTCGTCGGTGTGGTCGTCGATGTGAAATGGGGGCGGGAGTGGGTTGGATGTCCGATGGTAGTGGATGTGGTGTAAAGAGTGGCAAGTTCTGAAATGTGGTAGCAATGGAGGTGGCTGCTTGTAGGTGAGCCAGTAGTAGCCGATGAGCTAAAGCGATGTCGATGGGCGATGTCATAGTCCGAGTGTTTGTAGTAGGGCTCAAAAAGCAAGATGTACTATCCAGGTCACAAAGCTAAAGGGATCGCGAACAATAATTTGAATATAGAGAAAATGGCTGCGAAGAAGGTCAGAATTTGTATGACATGAGGAAAGTGCGCAGCGGCATGCAGAATGATGCTTCAGCATGGTCTGGTATGGCAAAACCGCATAAAGATGTCATCAGTGAATATAGGCGGCACTGTCATGAAAAGAGGATGGTCAATTTCTGTTAGGTGAGTCATAAAACCACAACTTGGGGTCTTTTTGAGTGTGACTTCCTGTATTGAAGCAGAAAACTGGATCGAAGTGAAGAACTCAAAAACGAAAGTCAGAGTGCGAATATTTTGTGGTCGGGCGTCTACCACAATGTAGCGGTGAAAATGGACCATACAAAGCAGGAGTATTCTATCACGCTTTGGTGAAGTAGCCAATTGGTGACTCAACGGATCAAATGAAACTAAGCGGAGGCTTGGAGTCACTCTTCCACGCAATCCCCTCGATGCGGGAATGCTTAGGGTGGACCACCCAACACTTGCCGGGGGTATACTTCACGATGCCTTTAGCTCGAAGTAATAAGTCGTTTGCAGCCGACTCGCCTCCATGCGTCACCTTCTGTCCATGGCCATAAGCCTTGATGGTGAGAATAAGTCCGCTGCGATTTTGGACATGTTGGAGGCGTTGAAGAGAACTCTAGCGGCCTCGGTGGCATCGTGCTCCTCGTAATTGCTGAGCTCAAAAGCGTGGCTAAAATAGCCTACATTGTGCTCGTCGTGCAAAACTGAGCGAACAATCTTGCCGGCCTCAAGAATGGAGATTATGTTTCCCTTTTCGCTCACATGAGCGGCGAAGATGTGTTTGATCGGTGGAATATTCAATGCTTCCCTTCTCGTGGGTGGAAGTGTTGGTGCGTCTCCTCTGCTTGCTAATGTTGGGATGGTGAGCATGAGGAAGGTGTGGTGTTCATTGCGGTTGGTGTCGTCGTTCCATTTTGTGTGAGTGAGAAGTTGCATGTCAGTAAAGTGGGTGCTGTTGAGATGAGCTGCAGTAAGCACTTTGGCCACGTAGGAGATCATGGGTTCATTGTAGATGTTAAGTGAACGTGCGTGCTGGTTGATCCATTGGAAGACTTCCAATTGTGCTGGATCTGTGGGTGGTTGGAATTTTTGTATTGGTAAATTGTGAGGTCGGCGTTGTACTGGAACTTCAGTGGTATCTGTTGTTGGTGGTGTGGGTGCTGTAGGTGGTGCGGTGGTTCGCTTGGAGCTGAAGAGTGGGTTGGGTTTGAGTGTGATGTGATGAGACCGCTTGGCTGGTTCCGCGGCTTTTTGTGAGTGTTTGGTGGTGGCTGGCTGTGGATGGCTGTGGCATGTCTTGAGCTGAAGGAGGTGGTTGCTGAGGTTGATGACTCAGTGATGGTGTTGGATTTTGTTGTGAGCTGGAAATGGATTGTGTGGTAGAGCGTCTCCTGCGTGGTAGTGGAGAGCGAGTGCGTGTTCGGGATCTGGATGTGGCTTGGGATGCCGTGCTGGTTGGGACTGCAGGGAATGCTGAGTAGCGGTGATGCTCTTGTGTGCGTGGGGGTGAGCGTTGTGGGTCACGCCATATGCCTCGTGTGGTGCTGAGTGTGGGTGCGACAGAGGGCGTCGGTCGGGCTGCGCGTGCGACTGTTGCTGGTGGCGTAGGATTGAAGGGTTGTGTAATGGGTGTTGCAGTGGCCGGTGGAATGGTTTGTTCGGTAGTGGTGGCTTGAGGTGTTTGCTGTATTGAAGATGCTGGTTGAACTGGTGCCGGAGCTGTTGCTGTGTTTTGTGTGCTGTCTGGTACTGTCGGGGAGGTTGTGTGTGTGGGAATGGTGGCAAGGTTGGGAAGTTGTGGATCCGAGGTGGATAGCGGAGTTGGTTGCGCTGTTGTCTGAGGAGTGTGTTGTGGTGGAAATTGTTGTGGTGGCATGTGCTGAACGGGATCCAAAGTGGTGTGCTGCGGCGCGGTAGGTGAAGGTTGTACTGGGTAATGTGGCATTTGTGGCTGATGGTGTGGTGTGGGCTGCATGTAGTGAGATTGAGGTGGAAATTGTGTTTGCGGTGGGAATGTTGTAGGGTGTGGGTAGAAATGTGGCGCTGGGTGATGTGGTGGAACTGGTGGCAGTGTTGGATAAGGTTGCGGTGGATGTTGTGGGAATGTTAGGTGGTAGTGAATACGGCCAAGGATACGTCATGGCGGCTCTGCAAATCTGATCAAATCGGTGTATGTAAATATGTAAATCTAGGTAGTCCTCGAACTTGTAATATAAATACTATAAAATATTGTAATGTGGAGGAGTGAGCGACTCGCTGTTGATAACCAAAGTCTGATTAAAAATTAACCAATTAAAAATTTGAAGAGAAGTTAAAATGAAAGGGATGGTTCCCAGGTGAAACTGATACAGTTGAGACTCTGCAGTATATTTCAGTAAGAAAAGTCAGTGAACTCTGCAGTATAATTCACGCGTACAGGGTGAGACATTCCAAGCTAGCTGATTTCGAGCAGAAAAATTCAAGTATAGCTTCAGAAAGATTACTCCTACGATGAAGAGTGGACAGGTTCTTGCAATAACGGCGCCCCCAAGGGATCACACAGCTTACCATTGTGGGAAGAAGCTGCGGAAACACACTTGAGAAGGTTGCTCCGTGGAGCTTGTCTTCAGGCTATTCGCGGTGAGCATTAGCACTTTAGGTGAATACGTAGCACTTGACTTGACTCAACCGTATGAAGTGAAGAGTCCGCTCACTTGAATGTTTCAACAAGATGCATTAGCTGCATTAGCTCTTTAATGTATATTAAAAATTGCAGGTACACAAGAAGGCGTCCCTTCTCGCTTCACAATCTCAAACCACCGTCTTCATTGGTGGATGGAATGAGATTCACTGCCCCCCTGCTGAGTTGCTGTACAGCGCTTCAGGTCAGCGAGCGTAAGTGGCTAGATGAGTGCCCTTGGAAACAGGGGTTGACACACACACACACCTACACACTTGCAAGAGAATGCAAAGTCTAGCCAATCGATACGACCAAAACATCCAAAAATAACAGTCCATACTTCGAACGCCTCTCTTACTCTTGTCTCGGTTCTTTCTTTTGAGTTTTCATCTTGTTGTGGCGATGTTTTGAGGCTTCCGTGCCTGGAACATGGTTGATCAAGGTGAGGAAGCAAAGAAATGCTCCACTCTCCGGCCAACCTGGTTGCTTCATTGGGGACGAAGAAATAGTAATGGAACAAGGCTGCTCGAGTTTCTGTAACAGCTTCGGACATGAATACATCAATCATGCAAACCTCACCCTTGCTACATCTTGCTACCCCACCCTACAAGTTCTGTTGCGCGCATCAAACCATGCTCCTGCTCCACAAGTTAAAGGTAGTTACGGTAGTTTCAGGCGATGCAACTGGAGAAAGGCTCAATAAATCTCAATATTGATTTCAACCAGGTCTGCGGATGTGCTCTTTGTAAACTTGGATGTGCTTGATAAGGCAGGACCAAATTGAACGACCTTGACCATGTGTTTTCACGCGATGAAGTCAGTGGGTCCAACTTTTTGCACACACGTAATTAGAATTAATTAGATGTAATTAGTGGGTCCAGGTGTGCATGTGCTGCGATCAAAATACGCTACACGCGGTAATCATTCTGCTGCCATGGTATCGCTCTTCAATGTACCCTACCGCTCCACACAGTACCGATCAAAAAATGGAACAACACGACTCTCTCTCAAACCTGACGATTCTTTGTGGTTCCTTTAGCCAACTCCCACTTGCAAGCAAGCCATGGTTTCAACAAGTTGCGAAGACTCTTTGCAAACGCTAATTGGGTTAGTCAGCTGCGGCTCTAACATGGGGAGGTGGCTAGGATCAGGCTTCTGAGGTATCGCTTCAGGTATCGTTTGGAATCGGTTTGGGTACCGCTCTCGAGACCATTTTCCAAAAAACCTGTAAACATATGTCTTATATAGTGTCTTATATATGTCAAAACCAATTAAAGTTAGCATAATCATCCCCGTTGCTACCGACTATAGAAGTTCAGACTATAGAAGTTCACCCTCTCATTTTATCTGCAAATTGGTCATACACACACCAAAGGTCTGCTCAAATCATTTAATCTAAAAAAGTTGAAAAACACATTTCTCGCAAAGTTATCTAAAAAGGGTCATGGTTTCAAGAACGTGTCCGTGAAGAGTATGAGTATCGAATCATGAAACAATGATTAAACAAAGACAGAAAAACACAGGCATAGATGAACGCATGATGCTCGTTTCTTATCGATTTTCTTTGTTTTTGTCCAGTCCAGGCTTAAACAACAGAACAAAAACAATCAAGCATGAAAACCATCAAGAACAACATTTCAAAAACAAAACATGAAAGCCACGCCACTATAGTAGCCATTTTGGTTCTTTTTAAAAGGTCTGCATTTTGGATTTCCAATCTTGATGGAGGCGAGTCATTTTTTGGAGGGGAGGCAGGACATGTTCAAACATTTTCTGGCGAGTCCAACTTTGGCACTATCATCGCTGAATGAATTTCTCATCTGAAGTTGATGCGAAAAGTTTGCTGCCTCTATCAGGAGACTTTTTCGTTGAATTTTGGTCGCTTTTTCATGTTCTTGAAACAGCCTTGACATGATGTGACAGGATTGCTATCCAAACTGCGACGCGTTTGTGAAGAGCCGAGAACTAAGTTCAGCGAAACACGCAAGTTTGAACCTTAGACTTTATCGACCGCGATTGTTGAAAGTTTTTGGTAATTGTAAACTCAATTGACATGTTCTGATTCATATTACGATGCTACCAAAGATGTTAGGATGAGGATGGTAAATAATTGTAAATTTTAATATTTCTAGTACGGAATGCGGATGAGAGGTCAAAACAAGTAGATTTGTGTTCGGGCTCTCGCACGGAGTGCAAGACTGCAAGTATTTGTTTTTCAAAACACGTGGAAAGTGTACAAGGCCTTTGACCTTTTACAGCACTAATCCTTCTTCAAACCACAACAACATACAAAAGTTGTGCAACAGAAATAAGCACATGAACAAAGTACAGTATGTGTTTATGGTTATGCTTCAGAGAGTTTGCTGTGCAGGGTGCTCAATTGGTCCTTCTTTTCGTTTGTCTCCGGGCAATTTGTTGTAAGAACCATTGATGGTTGTTCATCGAACTACTTCAAATTCATTTTTTCCCCAAACAGTGTGGGCACACTGAGGGGTTCTTATGGTAGGAGAAAAGCAGGTCTGCTTAGATCGCTTCCGCGCAGGCGTGTGCGGCTGATTCGATGCTATTTACAGCACATTCATGACTCGCAACATCGTCCATGTGCACTTCGACTGTGCAGGCTCGCAAAGTCTGGGTGGCCGCAGTGGGTGCTTCTAGCGACTACGCTCTCGTTGTGGTGCCGTGTGCATGGTGGTGACTTTTCGCGGCAGGCGCAAGGGAAACCTCGTGCTTTGGTGCTCCAAAGTCGACTTTTCGTGACAGGTGCAAGGGATCGGAGCTGCTTTAAATCGAAATGCACTTTTCGTGGCAGGCGCAGCACTTTGGACATGGTGGTGACCGTCGAGGAGCTCAGATTTCGTGACAGGTGCAGTGCATCGTGACTTTGGGATATATGGGTCGTTTGCAGATTTCGTTGCAGGCACAGCATTTTGTGACCCTCGATGCGCAGATTTCGTTGCAGGCACAGCACTCTGCGACGCTCGACGTGCAGATTTCGTGGCAGGCGCAGCACTTCGTGAACCTCGAAGTGCAGATTTCGTGGCAGGTGCAACACTTGGTGAACCTCGCAATTTCGTGGCAGGCGCAGCACTTGGTGAGCCTCGAAGTGCAGAGTTCGTGGCAGGCGCACCACTTCATGATGAGCAGATTTCGTGACAGGTGCAGCGCTTGGTGAACCTCGACGTGCAGATTTCGTGGCAGGCGCAGCACTTGGTGAACCTCGAAAGTGCACATTTCGTGGCAGGTACAGCACTTGGTGAACCCAGATGCGGAGATTTCGTAGCACGACCTCGAGCTGCAGATTTCGAATTGCAGATTTCGTGGCTGGTGCAGCACTTGGTGAACCTCGGGGTGCAGATTTCGTGGCAGGCACAGCGCATGGTGAACCTTGAAGTGCAGATTTCGTGGCAGGCGCAGCACTTGGTGAACCTCGAAGTGCAGATTTCGTGGCTGGCGCAGAACTTTGTGCTGTCAGATGCTCACTCTCCCACTCTCACTCTCCCACTTTCTTTCACTCACACTCACACCCCCTCACACTCCCACTCTCACTCACACTCGCACTCACACTCACTCTCACTCACACTCATTCTCATCCACACTCCCTCACACTCACACTCACACTCACTCTCACTCACTCACCCACGCTTCGCACTCTCACTCACACTCACTCTCACTCACTCTCATTCACACTCGCACTCACTCAGTCTCCCACTCTCACTCACACTCACACTCCCTCACACTCTCACTCTCCCACTTTCACTCACACTCACACTCCCTCACACTCTCACTCTCACGCGCACTTACTCTCACCCACACTCACTCACTCTCACTCTCACGCGCACTTACTCTCACCCACACTCACCCACTCTCACTCACACTCGCACACACTCACACTCACTCTCCCACTCTCACTCGCACTCACTCTCGCTCTCGCCCACACTCACTAACACCACCTTCACTCTCACCACACTCACACTCACTCTCACTCACGTCACACTCACGCTCCCTCTCACCCACACTCACTCACACCCACCTTCACTTCATCATCACGTCTCTGGACCCCAATGCGTCTCGATCTCTAGACTTTCTGCTTACAGACCTCACACACACTGTTTGGGGTCTCTTGCCAAGATGATTACATACTTTTTCTGTCATAATGTGCTTGAAGCAAAAAGATTACAAAACAACACGGTGGACGAGTGCTGTGAATGAAGAAGATTGAAAGAACTGAGGTGTAGTAAACACATGTCAATAGGAACGTCGTTTTGAAAGCAACTTTACAAGAGGGTAAACCCTCATGAGCGTGACATTGTTTTAGGAGACATGTATACTTTGAAGGTTTGTATACTGCAAAGATATTATCTGTTTTTGTGTGACATCCTAAAGCATTCTTATGGTAAAAACCCTTTACAACCAAATGGGTGCTGATGCTCACCCTTATTCCTTGATGGCAAATGGATCGCTACGGCTTCAAGCGCAAATGATGTAATTTCGTCACGGGAAGTTGGTCCGTTCTATTCGATTCTAATTTCTCATCAGTGTATCATGACTCGATACTCGTCACGGGCACTTTCTTGAAACCAGGACTTCCAAACCCATTACAGATTACCTTGGTGAGAATGGACTTTTTTTGACATTTTCTAGACTAAAAGACTTGTACAAACCTTTGAAAATCATTTGAGTTGACCAATTTCAATATGAAACGAGGTGTGCTGACCCCACTTTCGGTAGCAACGGGGATGATAAACAATATGTACCATCCTCATCCTTCCTCAATGTGTATATATAATCACCAAAGTATCCACTTACCAAAACCTATGCCCTCTGTGGATGTGTTGAGTGGCCTGTCCTAGGCAAATGATGGTAAGTGTCAAGACTACGGTTGGACATCACGTCCAACCCTGTATATGTTTAACGAAGAGGTAGCAAGCAAGGCGCCAGATGGGACGGGGAGATAGGAGGCATATTCCTGTTTTTTCAATTGGTGTCTGCCTTTGCGGAGAGGGTATATGGAAACTGGATGCCGGTGATGCTGGTTAACTCGCATTTTTGTGACCGCTAAAATCCACAAAGACTACTAGGGCCTGGGGTTTCTTACTTCCCAAAGATTTAGGGCGCCAAGTTGTCCCCCAGCACAAAGTACCTTTCTCGTATTAAAATCATAAAACTCACAAACTCTATCAAATTTTCAGGTGCCCTTCTCGTTGCACCATTTTCACATTGAACCTCTCCGTCGCGCTCATCCATCCATGGAAACGATCTTAAAATACCGCTTCATTGAGGTTCTAAAATGCAACATGAAAATCATCAAAAAAACATTTGCCAAATGTCATGAAAACGCATAACTAAAATAGCAAGGAAGATTCAAGGCAGTAAGTTTGTTCCTCGAATATGTTTCTTGGATCTTTGATGTCCTGTTCGTATTGTATATAGTTTGTTGCGTCAGGAACCCCGGCGTACAGGTTCAGGAACAAAAGACTTATTAAGTCTCAGAAAAGGATTAACAAATGTCTGGACAAAATCAAAACAGAACTCAACATGAC